TCACAGATGAAGGTTGTGCTGCTCTGGCTTCAGCTCTGAGATCAAACCCCTCACACCTGAGAGAACTGAATCTGTCATTGAATAAACTAGGAGATTCAGTGAAGTTACTCTCTGATCTGAGGATGGATCCACATTATAAACTGGAGACATTATACTGTTGTGAGTGTTTGTTTATTTAAAGTTTCTAAATTGAGTAACAGACCTCCTGTGTGTGTGATTGGAGAATATAAAATAATACTTAAGCATCACTTAAGTCTCTGTACTTTAAACTGTGTTTAATTCTGTGATGTGACTGGTCTATGAATAAATTCATATTTTAATCTCTGACAGTCTCTAAGTGATAGTAGTTGTTGATCATGTACTGTTATTAATCTATGATCAGTTGTTCGTTCATATCTCTGGTTGTAATATGAATATACTGTGTGTTTTCTAAAATGGATCTGCTGATGCAATGTGGCAGCAGTAATGTCTCATACTCATATATGTCTGTCTGTGTGTTTTATTGTAGGACTCTCAGTATTTAGACATCGGTACAGTTTCCTCAGGATCAGCTGATGGTGAATAAGGAGCCGCTACAGAGACGTCACAGGCACACAATCAACACAGACTGCGTGATGGGGACATCAAAAACTTTAGGGATGTTCATTTTGGTTCATTAAATTAAATTCAGGAATTAAAAATTACATTATGGCATTTCTTCACTAGATGCTTTTTAAGAACTTTTTCACTATAATGTTTATGAGTAGTTTAATGTAAAACATTGTCATGAATTTGCTGTACTCCCATTTGTAAAAGACAAATTCATTGTTTTATACATATAGTAGAAAACAGGTTTAGGTTGACAGAAAGACTCGTCTGATGTAATCTAGAGATGACAGACTGAAGATGTGTGATATGAGATCACAGCCTTTTATCGCCAAACTGATTAAAAAGGGTTGCCCAACTTTATAGAGACTTTAAAGAGTCATTACTCATTCAAAACTCGCATAAACACTGGCAGTTTATAGAATATTTCATTTCCCAACAACACTGAATGTCCACTTCAGAAACAGACTTGATTCCAGATGCATTTAAACCATATTTTCTCCTAACGCAATTAATTATTATTGCATGTATTGCCTATTGCCATAAACATAAGAAAACATTTGATTTTGTTAGTAATATTTCCAGATGAACACTAGCTGGACTGAAGCAGCTCGGCTTTACTTGATTCTCCTTCAATCATTTTTTAAAAAAGTCAGTGAGTCTCAAATCTGATCATTAGGGCTGTGTATCACCAGCAAAGTCACGATATCCCGAAACTGCACTGAATTTCACTTCAGCAGAATTTAGTAAAACAGTTTATTAAACATTGCATACTATTGTCACGGTCCAGGTGTGTGGAGGCAGGCAGGATGACGAGAACGACAAGGATACAAATTAAGGATCTTTAATGTAGCGACAACAAGGCAGAGACACACACACTCGGGGTAACATTCATAACCGACAAACTAGAACACAAGAGACAGGAACAGATATAGGGCAGTTAACAAGGGACAGACAGGTGAGCACAATGAGGTGATTAATGGGACTTGCAGGACACCAGCACCCACTCGACGAAGGTGGTGAAGCTCTCTCAAGGACCTTCCCCGGGCAGCTGCGCTCGTGTGGTGGCATTAAGTCCAACCTGGTAGAACGTGCAGAGGCAGTTGTCCGGGTAGTGCATGAGGTGAGCCAGGGACAGAAAGTCATTGGTGTGGTCCTCAAGAGAGCGTTCCCCCTTCTCCAGCAGGAGGATTTGGAAGGCGGGGTAATCCATACAAAAATAAAAACTGACAAAAACTGGGAAAACAAACAAGGGAAAAGACGCCGCTATACTTTACTTTTTTTTTGGGGTCGGTTATTCTGTCACGGTTCAGGTGTGTGGAGGCAGGCAGGATGACGAGGATGACAAGGATTCAAAATAAGGACCTGTAATGTAGCGACAACAAGGCAGAGACAGACACACACTCGGGGTAACATTCACAATAACCGACAGCACTGGAATACAAGAGACAGAAACGTACGAATCCGGTCAACGAACTTTCCATTTCATTGACTCTCGCACTACACACTGTTGCACATCACCCCGGACTACATTTCCCATCATGCATTACTGATTGCACTCAGCACGAATTGCACACACCTGTTTACACTGATTGCACCCAGCTGTTTCATATCACTCCCTCATTATATAACACTCACTCTTATCCCTTCCCTCTGCCGAGTA